ACAAGTTTGCGTGTCACAAAGGTCGATGCCATTAATCGGAGAACTTTTAAACAAACACAGCTGTATGGCACGCGTAACTCGAATCCTAAGTTGGATACTTCGGTTCATAAACAATGCACGTGACGTCAACAATGCCATGCGGTCATCGTACTTAGCAACGAGTGACCTGCAGAACGCACATAATGCAATTATCAAGGCTATACAAACTAATCATTTCGCCGACGACATTGCACAACTCAATAAACATCATAAAGTGCGAATAACAAGCAGCATTTTAAACTTAAATCCATTCCTGGACAAACACGAAATCTTACGTGTAGGAGGACGTCTGGAAAATGCCAACTTAAGTCAAGAACAAAAACATCCAATTATCTTACCTTACAATGACAGGTTAACGGAGTTACTGATCGACCAAGCGCACAAGAGGACCCTGCATGGTGGAGCCAGACTAACTCTATCATATCTACGCAACAGATATTGGATTATCAGCGGTTTGAGAGCAGTGAAAAAACGACTTATACGGTGCATCACGTGTCATCGCTTCAAAACTATCAACAACAACCAACTTATGGGTGATTTACCTCCTCCACGCGTCACACCATCAAGGCCTTTCACACACACCGGTGTAGATTTCACTGGGCATGTGGAGGTAAAGGCTAACAAGGGCAGAGGAATAAAGACAATGAAGGCCTACGTAGCTGTATTTGTGTGTCTGTGCACAAAAGCTCTTCACCTCGAACTTGTCTCCGATCTCAGCACAGTGGCTTTTCTGAACGCCTTGAAACGAATGTGTGCCCGCCGAGGAAAGCCCCGTCACATCTACAGCGACAACGGCACCAACTTCGTGGGCGCAGCAAGAGCATTGGAAAAACAACGAAAGGAGGCATTACAATGCTACATAAACAATGACGTCATAACTAACATGTCAGAGTGGGGCATTGAATGGCATTTTAACGCCCCTTCCTGGCCTACTGCTGGTGGACTCTACGAAGCTGCAGTAAAAAGCCTGAAACATCACCTCAAACGAGTACTTGGGGATCAAAAACTTACGTTCGAGGAATTTTCTACACTGTTGGCGCAGATTGAAGGATGTCTCAACTCTCGCCCCCCTGGTGGCGTTGTCAGAGAATATCGAAGACCTTGACTGCTTGACACCAGCTCACTTCCTAATCGGCGAGCCTTCTCTAGAATCACCACTATCCGCTGAGGGTAATGACATGACCTTCTCTACAAGATGGCAACTTACGGAGAAAATGTACAAGGACTTCTGGAGAAGGTGGTCTACTGACTATCTTCAAACTCTACAAACTCGAAGCAAATGGCACTTCCCTACTAAAAACTTAGAAGTTGGGGACGTCGTTATCGTCAGAGAAGACAACATTCCTCCTGCCAAATGGATCCTGGGACGGGTGTTGGAGACTCACCCAGGTGCGGACGGCCGGGTACGAGTCGTCACACTGAAAACTAAAACAAGTAATATGAAGCGACCGATTACAAAATTGTCACGCCTTCCGTTGGATCCGTCATCTTATACAACTGCATCTTCTGACGTTGACACTACGAAGCCTGCAATAAATACACAAAGAAAACGAAGAAACAACAACGGCAAAAAACACTTCAACAACCTTTTTTGTACGTTACTACTTATATTTTCGATGTGTGTTGGACCTACTACGCAACAAATGATCAACATAACAAGGCTTAGCAGTTCAAGAGTCGTTTATTTTGACAAGGTGTCTGATGTGCAGATTATTCAAGATAAGTGGAAAATGGTTGTATACTACAACATGACGACATATTGGCGGAGTTTGGACAACATACAAAACTATGTCAACCATTTGAACACATTATGCAAGAAGGAAGCAGCCTATCTTACAATTTCATCCCAGTTTCAACACGAACTTAACGAAATTCAACACTATAACGATATCTTACGATCAGAACATGGACCGTCTCGAAGAAAAAGAGGACTAGTGAATGGAATAGGATACCTAGCAAACTCCCTTTTTGGTACTCTGGATGAGAGATTTGCCAATCAGTACGTGAAGGATATCAACATAATCCAGTCAAACGAAAATCATCTATTGAATCTCTACAAAAATCACACATCGATCATCGAAAGTGAATATAATCTTCTAAAAAGAAACGAGGAAGTAATGAACACACAATTTCGTATCATCGACAATCATCTCGCTGAAACGGAAAAACGCATACAAATCAGCCATGACAATGCTATGTACATAACAGCTACCGCTCTGGCCGTGAACTTGATCATTTCAAACATACGACAAATACAACAGCAACTCCTAGACCTAGTAACTGACGTGAAGGACGGGAGAGTTGACACCCATCTCATCAAGCCCAACCAATTTGAAGATCAGCTCAACATCATCTCCGGTCATTTACCAAGCGAGTTATCGCTACCCTGTGTGAACACACGCCATTGCACGCGAAGCCTATACAAGCTGGCGCGAGTGCACGTGCGCTTAACAAGTGCATACATAATATTCGAAGTGAAGCTACCGCTAATAAACAACGAACAATATGAACTTAACCACATCATTCCTATTCCGCAAATAACTGGACACACAGAGAAAACTATAGTACTCACATCTGAATACCTTGCTGTAAACCTAAAAGGGGACATGATAATACCCTTAGAAAACCGAGATGTATCATCATGCTTAAATCTGCAAGAAAACAAAATGTTATGTGCTATCAATCAACCTATTTACAACATTAAGGTAGCCGATACATTATGTGAAGCGCAAATATTAAACAATGGCGACTCATCAACATGCCGCACAAGAGTATTGGATTGCAACGACAGGTGGGTGCGATTACACAATCGTGGCGCGTGGCTGTTCTCCTGTTGCGAAGACTGCACGATGCGCATTTTCTGCCCAGCTGGAGTGACGTCACAGCACTTACACGGCACGGGGATTATGTTACTCGGACTTGGGTGTATGCTCAAGGGAGAAAGCTTCATCATTCATGCTCGCAACGACTATCACAGCGAGTTGAAACTAACAGGCAGTGAAGAAAGAATGTACATGCGTGAATCAAGCCTGAACCACATACTGACAGACTTTAATCATACATTTGGACCTGAAGATCATAAAGACGCCTTACAAGAGCTGAAAAACAACATTGATAAGGTCAAGGAACAGCAACAAACACTGAGTGTACAATCACTCACACATGACACACACAACTATGTGTTGTACACCTTAGTCGGATTTATTATTGTAGCCTTCATTGCATGGGGGACATTCCGGCTGAAAAGAAGATGTCAAGGCTGCAGCGTGAATCTTCGCGACAAGCCAGACCCCAACAATGTCGAGCAGCCAACCCAAGGACATTCATCGGAGCATGGGGTCTCGGACATCGATAGTGTGGATGCGGTGATCGCAACGGCTGCCCGTAAACTCAATAGGGGTTCATCGCCTTAAACTTTCTTCTTGTTTATAAAATTGGCAAGATGTACGAGCAAGTACATGATATTTCAACAGTTTAGAAAATAATGCTGATATCGCGCCTGCGCGCGCGATACGTTCACTATAATTACATTTTTTATTCATAAGTATTTTCAGTACAATAAACGCTCTCTACGGAAACGGACACAGTTTTAATTACCACATCCCGTAACGTAGAAGATACAACCTACATTAATATACTACATATCAATTATATGTAGAGGGTCACAACTCACAAAATACCCCCTACAATAACTAATTTGATAAATGATCAGTGCATAAAAATGTTTAACTAAAATTTCAGTGTATGTATTATGATTATAACATAATATACTAATTGTATATAGTTATAGATAAAAGTAAATAACTTAGGTAAATATCATGAGAAGATAGTATTTTGAACATTAACAAAAGTAAAAAGAACTGAAGCAAATCACACAAACTTCCATAAAACATACTTGGTACCTTTCGAACTTGACCTTCTTTCTATAACTAAAACCAATATGTACTAACATTTAAAGTGATATCCTTGACGTCTTCTTTATCGGACGATTTAATCCAGCGGCAATAAGCATTTTCGAATTTAATAACAATTTCGTTTAAAGCCCGCTTACCTAAAGTTATTGAGATATGTCTTAGTACTATTCTCAGTAGTTTAAAAAATCGTAATAATATATTATAATAATATTAAATAGATTTGTTAAGTTACTTTTTTCTTTTGGACTTTCTTTTGAAGTGCTCGGATCTGGTAGATGTCTTACGGGGGAATGTCGTTTCGTGGCTTTTATAGGATCGGCTAGAAGAAAAATTATAAATTACTATAATGTGGATCCCCATGTAATGGCCGCGTAAATATATTCCACTAGCCCATATCATAACATGAGTGCCGTAAAAGGCGACAGAGAAAAACAAACCGGGAAAGGAGCAGCAGGGTCTTCATAATAACATCTGTCTGCCGTCTGCCAAGGGTGGCAACTACGAGTATGGCATATATGACCCCCACGACGTAACTATGGGGGCGGCCTATGTTCAGCAGGGGAGTTTGATAGGCAGTGATGATGATGATGAATGGTAGGTATGTACACGTCATGCCTGTAGATATTCATTTAAAATTTTAGTTTTAGTTTAATCTTAGTAAATAGATCGTAAGGAACAGACAGTAGTGCCGGTAGGGGTCGAACTCAATTTGTTCGTATATTATAAAATTTTGTGGCCAGTTCTTTTGACCTCAGGGATTTATAGAGGAAGAAAACGTTCAAAATATTAAAAAATAACTTGTAATTTCTTTCAATTAAATTAAAAACATTTCTCATTATCTTTCAAAGGTGTTATTCGTTAAGTACCTGTTATCATTGTGTATATAGTCAGTTAAGTTTACAGCTGATTAGAGCATAATGTTAAATTTTGATATCTATCTATCTTTTGCTAAGTCGTAAAATTGTTCATAAGCAACTTACGACTTTTCTAACATGAATAATTATAAATGGGAAAAATTAATAATAATGGTATACGGTTTTTTCTTACTTGAAATTGTTACTCTTTTTTTTGGTTTCTTTTTTCGAAATTTATTATCAGTTGAAATCTGATCGCGAGTTGGCAGGTGACATTCCTCGCTCATTAAAAAGTCACGGATTCGCTGTATCGCTACGTGCATTTCTGCGATCTAAAATAAAAATGAAATTATTTACACACTAATGTAACAAACGTATTTAGAAAGAAAGAAAGAAAGAAAAATATTTATTTGGTACACAAAAGTAAAAAACACATAAAAGACATAAACACAGTAATTTAGTTACAAAGAGAAAAAAAATATTTTATGCTATTAGTGCACCAAAAAGGTTTCCACTCAGCGTTAAATTCACGAAGTTTAACACTAAGAAACTTCATGAAAGCTGATTTTCAGTGGAACCTATATATAAGAAGGTAGATGGCGATACCGTCAGCTTACACAAATATCTTAAAAAAACTAAGTAACAGATCTTAAAATATGAAATAATGATAGTAAAAAAAGGAAACAACAAGGTTATAAAAATCGTAATAAAAACAAACAAAGGTACATATGATGTGTGTGTGTGGGTGTGCGTGTGCGTGTGCGCGTGCGTGTGTGCGTGTGAGAGAGGGATGTGGAGACAGGGATGAAAATGATGAGTGACAACTAAGTGCTAGACTTTTGTAAGGAGAGCAAAAACATTTTTAATTTTAACTGAAATTAATTTATGGTTTTCGATTTTCTTATCGGGGGGGGGGGGAATATCATTCCAGCACTTAGTAGCGGAAAAACAAAGACTACCACGAAAAGCAGCAGTGTTATACGGTGTGTAATTAAGTCACGGTGCTGCTCTAACGCAACGCTGTGAGAAATTGAGCTTGTCGTATAAGTAAGAAGGTTCCCCAGTTTTAACCACTTCGAAGAGCAGGGAGGCGAGGTGAAGCTTCCGTCTGGTGGACATGTTCATCAAGTCGCGTCGGTTTAGGAATGGAGTGACATGAGATCGAGGTGGTATTGAAAAACAGAAACGTGCGCAAGCGTTTTGTATTCATTGTAACAGTTTTTTAGTTCTTGTCAATTTAATGGTTTTTTTTTTTGGTTATATAAAAAAATTATTTAATTTCGAAATCACATAAATAAAAAAGAAGGAATTCGAAAAAAAAAAAAAAATATTATATTATAAAAAAACCTCAAACTTTTCTCTATACCATTTATTTTGGTTTTTTTTTTTTTTTTTAAAAAAAAGGAGAAAAACCAAAAAAAACAAATAACAAAAAAAGAGAAAAAACAACATAAAGGCAGTTAGACAGCTAGTGATCCAATCTAGTGCGATTGCATGGACTCTGCCGCGCTAGCTCATATCGTACTCTAGCTAGCGCACCAAATAGCATGGTGTAAAGCGTTCTAGCGTGCTAAACACTAGCTATGCGAGGTCAGTCAGTCGGCGTGCGCTCGAACAGGACGTATTTTTGGTATATGATCAAAGTGACGTGACGCAACCATCGACGAAGGAAAAGGAAGTAATGAATTATAAAAACATGCCATTTCTTTGCGATAAAAAACATAAGGATTAGAAAAACAAAGATATGAGAACTGGTGGAAACAAAGTGCTTCTCGAACTTTACAAAGGATTCACGTTGTTCATACTTGACTACAAACTAATAAGAGTACCAACGTAATATTTGACAGTTTTTGTCTCGGCAATAAATATTCTGTCACCCAACATTTTTTGCGTTTTTTTTTAAATTAATTATCATTAAAATTGACACCACTGCTAAAGCAACGCCAACTTTCTGGTGGTTTTATAGTAGGTACCATATTCGTTTAGCGCTTTTGAAAGATGCGGTTTTGACGGCGATCACTACAGAAATGAAAGGAAATTAAACTAACTAGCTTCGCTAGTTAGTCTAGTGTAATGAGTGAGCTCTTTTTATAGTTCGCTGCAGCACTAAATCTAGCGCTCTGCAAATTGGATAATGTAATGGGCGCTTTAGGTAATTTACGCTGCTGGCTAAGTCACGTGCTCTACTATTCATAAGATCGTTAATTTAATAATAGTTTTAGTAATAAAGACAGTTAGTACATACTTGCCCAACAGCCTGTGGGAAAAACAGAGTCATAGTTTGCCTCATAATGTTGTAGTAGCAAGTGAGGAAGAAAACGTTCTCCACGGTGATACGGTCCACGTAGGTGACATAAAGAAGAACGGTGATAAAAATGCTGAAGCGCGCCGTAAACATTATGAAAGACATTATCACGCCACGGATGTACGACGACATTTTGATACTCAGTATTTCTTGCCTGTATCAATATAATTTTAATTATAAGTATAAATAACGTTTTTATTCTATTTAAAATTCTGAATGATTTTCCAAATTTCCAAAAACATTTAGGGTCTTGCGTATAACTGCTACCAATTTCAAGCTAAAAATGTCATAGATGCTTTGCCTCCCATGAGGGCCTGTTATCATATTACCTGTCTTTCTGCTTCAAACCAGAGTTACAGTGAGTGTAAAATAGAAATATTTAAGAGGGTTTTATAAGTTCAGCCCCTGGACAGAATAAGAAATCAACCACCTGTAAAAAAACCAAGTACTTAGTCATATTTATGAACATTTCATAAATATTTACTCTCATAAATATTCACGTATAAAAAATTAAATTTTAAATTTAAATTTTTATACGTGGTAAAGCCATGCTGTAGCTATATTAGTAGTATAATTGTAGCATGAACAGGTTGGCTCGATTAGGCAAGCACCACGCTCCCATAGAATACCAGCGTAAAATAGCAGTTTGGCGCTGCTGTTTCGTATGGTGAGTGTAGGAAACCGGAGACCCTTTTCGCTGGAAACTAGGCATTCATCTTAGTCCTCACGGGTGACAATGCATCTGCATTTTGATTCTTAATCGAGGATAGATGTTTATGGGCCACGGGATCCACTAATCATCAGTTGGACAGTGTGCTCGTTTGTTACCCTATCATATAAAAAATAAACAAAGTGCTGAAGGAATTATTCTTATTTAAAAAAAACCTGTGGACGTACCACATTAGAATTTTATCCTGTATCGTCGAGGCAGTATAAATTTCACAAGGATAAACACTTATTCGTGCGAGACTCTAACCCGCAAACCTCAGCGCTGCAACACACTGCACCACGTAGCCATCGAATAATAAACATAATTTCAGCTTGGTAGAGCCATGCAGCTATATTATGGTTGTAGCTTGGATGGGTCGGCTCGACCGGGGTGGAACCACGCTCTCGCAGAATACCAGCCTAAAATAGCAGCTTAATGCTACTGTGTTTCGTATGGTGAGTATACAGAATGGAAGACCCATTTTACTGGAATCTAGGCGTTCCATCTTGATCCTCAGGGGTTACAAGGCATTTGCATTTTGAAATCTTAATCTTAATCTTGATGTCTATGGGTCACAGCAACAACTTACCACAGGTGGACTTGGTGCTTATTTGTCACGTTTATTCTGTAAAAATATACAAATTAAAAGTATATACCGTCGAACGGTGTCGATAATGTTTCTGAATGGTGCTTCCCAGGTGTACATTTTAATCACCTCAATGCCCATTATAATTTCTTTCATTAATTTAACTCTTTCGTCTGATTTTAATGCGGTGTCACTCCTATAAAAAGCAGTGGAAGTTCCAAGATATACTGAAAATAGAAGGACAATGTGTGATTTCATGAATTAGAAAAGGGAAAAATGTTAGTACGTGAGGATAATATGGTCATACGGTTAATATGGTCACATTCTTATAACTTAAAAACTACAGCCTTGTTTGCATAGATGACTCTGTGATACGATAGCTTTTCATCAGTCAATCAAATAATAAAGGGTCAAAAGTGCGCTACATTATTGACGCTATTGTGACAGTTCACATAATAGTAAATGTTTTAGTCGAATTTAGTATTATGTAGTGTAGTTAGTTCTTTTAAGTCGATTTTTCGAAGTGTTCCTAATTATTAGCGAAGCTTATTTGTTTCCTTTTTGTTATATATTAGTTATAGTACACGATTTCGTGTTTTTGTTTCTGTCCTCTTCCTAGTTTTGGTTTTATAGGGCGGAAAAGCTTAAGGTGACCATACTCGTAGAGAACCGGAGACTTTTTTGGAAACGAGACATTCCATCTTAGTCCTCAAGTGTAAGATAGCATCTGGAATTTGATTCTTAATCGAGGATAGATGTAGATTTCTTTGGGCTACAGCATCCACTTACCATCAGGAGGACTGTGTGCTTATTCTATAAAAAAATTACTCCACCCAACTTTTGCTCGGAACACATATATTTAGTTATCATAGACTATTATATAGATAAACATAAATAAATTTTCTTACTTTGGAAGGGAACAGCAGCCACAACGATAAGCGCTCCATATACTGCAGGCATACCCATTTCTCTATACAAGTATACTGTCATTAACTACAATATAAAAAAGGTAATTTATTCCTAGAAGAAACTTATACAAAATTAAACAAATGTTATTAATTTAAACATGTAATATTTTACCAAGGTTTCAAGGGGACCTATCCAAAGGTAATGGATAAATGAAGGGCCCGTATCAAATCTGTTCACGTCGTTCGCCATTAGGTTTACTACAAGTCCTGCACCGCTCTCCGATATAGATTGAAGACTCACTTTTAAAGACTGAAATTATAAATATTTAGTTATACCTACCCATAGAGCCGTGGTAGCTCAGTGGTTAACGCTCGCTGTAAATATAACAGAACGCGAGTAATCCTTGTTCGATCCCCGCCGGCACCAATGAAATTATTAATTGCAATTTTAAGTGCTGATTTACCACGTGCTCGGTGGTGAAGGAAAACATCGTGAGGAAATCTGCATGTCTGAGGAATAAGAAAAAAAAATATTTCGAAGATATGTGAAGTTCGTCAACACGCATTTGGGCAGCGCGGCGGACACTTCCTTGCCCTAAACCCTCTCAGAAATGAGGGGAGGCCTGAGCCCAGCAGTTGGACGTATATAGGCTGTAACTTTACTTTTACGCATAAGCCATGGTAGCTTGCCGCAAAGGTAAGGAGTACGCGGGCAACTTGAGTTCATTCTCTGCCGCCACCAATAAAATTGTCAATCGGTGCTGTAAATCAGCATCAATTAAAAATTTCATTCGCATCTACCATGGATAAATCACGTAAACTGGTTATAAAACTAAACAGAATAACACCAAAACGGCTTGTTGAACACCCAACAACGTTATTTTTTAATACTACCTATGAGCCTTTCATCTAAGTTTTTTCTAGGAATTAACTACCCGTGACCGTTATACCTTGTTGGATAGTTAGAGAAACGTAGATGTTTTCAAATATGTGTGCGATATAACTGCCATAGATTTTTTAATATTTCTCAAAAATAACTTTATACAAGCTTATTTCTTTTTTTTAACTATCAATCGTCTACTACGACCCAGATTGTTAATTTACCTAAAAGCTAGGTGTTAAAAATAATAAAACAACTTATCTGCTATAAAACTCATTAAAAAAATGAAACTAGATGTATAAATAACAAAAGCAGTACAATAGACTCAAAATTGGCAATTTTTATAAAAAAAAACTTAAATATCCAATATATAATAAACGGTTAAGTTAAGGTTGGGTATATGGGTATTTCATAGTCGAAACAGTCGATAATGATGGAAACTATAACCTCCTGACGAATCTAAGCCGACTTAACCTGTAACTCTGTACGCGCTGTACCTTTATTACATAATATGTTGCGAATGTAGGATGCTCTCATAGGATTTTCCACTTTGCCACGTCTTTCAGAAATTTTGGCAATCACAAAAGCGGTATAATATATTTTATGTATGTTGTTTATTGTATGTATCTAAAATACTTGAGGTTTTGATTTTATTTCGACTCTTACTTACGTAATTTTTTATTCTCAGATTCAATCAATAAGAATCCCAAAGATACTAATCATCTCGATGCCAAATGTAAGATTATCAACCCTGCGCCGAGAGCAAAACCAAACGTGCGAGGCACCTGGTACTTCGATTGCTGATGGATTACTATTAAATATGGCAATTTTTGACTGTTAATGACAGATGGAGATGGTTAAAAAGTAATGTTTAATATCAATAGCAATTGACGGTTCCGCGTCCAAGTGGTTTAGCAATGAGTTGCAGCGCTGGGGGCCGCGGGTTCTAATCCCGCGCGGAACAAGTATTTTGTATGGTCTACAAGTAATTGTTCCGGGTCTGGATGTTGGTCCTTGTGCAATATATGTTTGTAAACTGCCTACTATAGGAGAAAATCCTTGTGTGTAACTATTTAAAAAAAAAACGATAATACCAAAAAATTGCAATGAAAATAAAGTTAAAAAAAATCGTAAAATATATTTTAAATGTAATAAGGAAATCATTGCTTCATTTACTTCTAAAATATTTTATTTCATTAGTTAAGTACAATAGTTTCATTTGTCTATATTTCAAAAGTTTACTGAATTGAATGAAAACAATTTCCGCAACAATTTCACATTTCGTCAGAAATGTACGACAGGCTCCCTATATTTCGTAATGGTGTGGAATTTGTTTGTTCTTGACGTAAAGTTCTAGGGTTTGTTAATCATTCTCGTGTTATAACGAAACAATGTGTAATTTACACAATTGTATGAATTCAGAAAATATACGTTACAAAAGTTTTACGCAATCTACTTTTCCATGAGGGAAAAGTTGGAATAGCTTAGTGTTTGAAAATAATTATTAAAATTAAAGATTAGTTTAGCTAACTTTGGCATCAAATTACTAATCATATATACATAATCCTTTTTATTTAAATTTTTCTTTGTTTCCAATTTTAATGCACTAAGCATATTGAACCTAACCTGCGGTTAGCATCTATTAACACTAACATGTAAGCATGCCCAGGGATGCGAAATTACTTTTGCTGACAAAGGTAGTGAGAAGAATATAATATATAATATCCCCCTCACTACTTTGATAAATCTTTTGTATGATAAAATCTTTTATTTTTTATTAAAAAAATATTTTTATAATGGCTATACCGAATTTTTAATTACCACTCATTAAAAGTGAAACGAAGGCGTTTAACGGCTGAACCAAGATTATGTTAATAATAATATCACATATAAGCTTTACGAGGTAGAGCCACGCTGCGACTATATTATAGCTGTAACACGAACGGGTCGGCTCGACCGGGGCAGGACCACGCTCTCATAGAAAACCAGCGTAAAATAGCCGCTCAATGCTGCTGTGTTTTGTATGGTTAGTGTAGAGAACCGGAGACCCTTTTTACTGGAAACGAGGCATTCCATCTTAGTCCTCACGGGTAATAATAACGCATCTGCATTTTGATTCTAAATCGAGGATAAATGTAGATATCTATGGGCCACAGTATCCAGTTACCACCACGTGGATTTTGTGCTCGTTTGTCATCCTATTCTATAAAAAAAAAACTTGTGAAGGTAAGCTACCCTTGTAAGGCACAATGAAATGATCGGGTATAAGAAAAACCACATGCACGGTATAGCTAAATTGTATTTTATTATTTTTCGAAGTATTCTCCGTTCAACTTAATGCACTTTTCCCTTCGTGCAAACCAATCATTAAAACAGTAATTCCAGTCTGAAGTTGATGTTGACAAAATGGTTAATTTGTACGCTTCCACAGCTGCTTCGGGGTTTTCAAACCGTTGACCGCTTAATAAATCTTTCATTCTACGGAATGTAAGGAAATTGTTTGGGCTCAGTTCAGGACACTAGAGAGGATGGCTCATCAGCTCAACGTTTTCCTGCTTCAAAAATCATTTGTCTTCCGAGCCGTATGGGAGCTCGCATTATCGTGATGTAAGATGATGCGACGTTTCGGGTTTTCATTTCTGGCAAACAAACCGTGATATACCCATTCAGCGGTAACCGTTATGCGTTCCTGTAAAGGAATTGTAGCAACATGCCCCTTTTTCGAGACAAACGTAGCGACCATTTTCTATGTCACGCTGCGGGAGCGAACCACTTTGACCCAAACTGCTGATTGATGTTTTCTTTCAGGTTCGTATGAAGAAACCCATGATTCGTCACCTGAGACGATATTATAAATGGCGTTTGACCTCCATCCGTTGAAGCGTTGGAGAATATTCTGGCACCAATCTACACGAGCCGCCTTTTGCTTTTCGGAAAAATTGTGGGGAACCCAGCGGGAAACTAGCTTTCTTACACTCAGCTCATTATGTAATATCGACTGAATTGCAGTCATTCCGATACTGATAACAGCCCGAATCTGCTCGTATGTCACATGACGGTCATCTAATATAATAGTTCGCACAGCTGCGATGTTTTCAGGCGTGACCACTATTCTTGGTCGACCTGTAGAAGAAACAGTGCTGAGCAACACACGACCGCGTCGGAACTCGGCATACCAGCGGTATATTGTCGTTTAACTCGGTGCTTCAACATCATCAATCGAAACAAGTTCGCTGAGACATTTATCTTGAGATAAGCCGCGACGAAAAATGTGATAAATTATGGCACGGAAATGTTCACACGTGAGATCCATTTCTGTTAACGACGTGTCAACTTTAAACCAACATAGTTATTGTTTTTAAACATTTTTTTAAATTGTTTGAATGTCTTTAAGATTCTAAGAGGCCAGTATTCAAATTCCAAAAAAGGTTTTATTGTAACTCAATCGGAAATATTCTATTCCCGATCATTTCAGTGTTCCTCCGAAAGATTGAAAACTTGTATACGAAGTTCTTGGATGAAAAACGATGATTGATTAAGTATTTGATTTAATTTATTTAATTATTAGTACCTTATTCTTAAAAGTAATTTCGTTTTTCAAATTAAATTAAGATTTTGATGTTTAATCATTGAGCTATTATGTACGTACGTAACGTAGAGGCGACATTGTATTTAGTGGCGCTCTACCATTCAATTGCGGCGTTAGCGCCGCACTTTATTTACTCAGTCAATTCGCTAGCTCAAAACACTACTCCTATCGGAGTAATCTTTCGGCTCGCTAGGCGCTAGTGAGTTGACACGAGTTGATTAATTACCTGTATAAAAAAATTCTCGATAAAATACGCCTTTGTGTGTTTTTAGATATTGCATAATAACTCAAGTAATGTTAGCAAATACTAATTTTTTATCGGTTAATAAGATCGGGGGGAGGGGTACCAGGGGTGCTGGTCCCTCCTGGGGTAGTTTAACATTTAATTCCGCTACCATGTTGATGGGGGGGGGGAGGATTTGGGCTTCCGGCCACCTGCACTCACCAGACGAAACGCGGAAGCAGAGCTTCCACTTCACGCCGGTATTCTGTGAGGTCGTGGTACCACGCCGGTTTGAGCTGGCCGGCCCATACGTGCAACAGCAAAGCTGTCGCGTGGCTCTACCACTGTTAAGCTATTTATGTTATTTATCATATTAGTTATTAATTTAAA